ATATATATATATGGCTGTATAAATAAAAACTCATCCACTTTTTTGATTCTCTCAAAAATCTCTCTCCTCTCTTATATATACTTACACATACATATACTAATATTATTACATAATACATATGGACGTATATATATAAATATATTTATATACTTACCCATTTAATATATTATTATTATATAACATGTTATCATCACGAAGGCTCTGGAAAAGCTATTACATTTCTTCCCGCGGGGACGAAAATTGTGATACAGTATGCATTGTTGGCCACTAAAGCTCGAAGAAATTTACTGAGCTTTCAGGACATTCGGAAAAATGGTTATCACATTAAAACTATGAGTGATACCGATGGTGAATTTTTATTGATCACCAATATCATTGATAAAAGAAAATGCATCATTGAGATATTACCCTCACTCTCTACTGGTTTATATTATGCCAGATTAAGTGTTGTTGAAACACACCTTACGGTAGATCAAAAGACTACCGATTTTCAAATATGGCATGATAGTCTTGGGCATCGTGATAGTATAATGATGAGATGAATAATTGAGAATTCGCATGGCCATTTATTAAAAGGTCAAAAAGTGTTAAACTCAAATGAGTTAACCTGTGTTGCCTGCACTCAGGGAAAATTGATAACCAGGCCATCGCCAGCTAAAGTAGGTATTGAATCACCTACATTTTTGGAAAGACTACACGGGGATATATGTGGACCAATGGACCCACCGTGTGGGCCATTTAAATATTTTATGGTGCTTATTGATGCATCTACCAGATGGTCACATGTTTGTTTATTATTTACTCGCAATATGACATTTGCGAGATTGCTTGCCCAAATTATTAAATTACGGGCACAATTCCCTGATAATTCAATTAAGACTATACGTCTGGATAATGTTGGTGAATATACATCGAATGCATTTGATGACTATTACATGTCGATTGGAATTAATGTAGAGCACTAAGTTGCTCATGTTCATACACAAAATGGTCTGGCAGAATCACTTATTAAAAAATTGCAATTGATTTATAGACCATTACTGATGAGGTCTATGTTGCCCGTTTCAGCTTGGGGGCATGCAAATTTACATGCAGGAGCACTCATAAGAATGAGGCCGACAAGCTATCATAGCTACTCCCCGATGCAGTTAGTATTTGGTCACGAACCAAATATATCTCATCTACGTATTTTCGGGTGTGCTGTTTATGTTTCTATTCCACCCCCCAAATGTACAAAAATGGGTTCTCAACGTAGATTGGGCATTTATGTCAGATATGAATCGCTGTCAATTATAAAATATCTTGAACCTATGACGGGTGATTTATTCACTGCAAGATTTGCAGATTGTTATTTTGATGAATCATATTTTCCGACATTAGGGGGAGACAGAAATGAACCGAAAAAGGGATATTAATTGGAAAATCCCATTGAATTTTTATGATCATCGTACAAAGCAGTGTAAACTAGAAGTTCAACGCATTATACATTTGCAAAATATTGCAAATCAGTTACCGGATGCATTCAATGACTCGAGCAAAGTCACTCGATCATATATCCAAGCTGCTAATGCTCCGGCTAAAATAATTGTCCCAGATGGACAAATTACAAGTGTTCATGAATCAGCGACACACTTAAAGCATGGTAGACCACTCGGTTCCAAAGACAAACATCCTCGAAAGAAAAGAAGAATTAATGATGATAATAATGAAAATATCATGAATGACATTGATAAATCTCAATCTAACGAGGAAGTCAACCCTGAAATAATTGCTCTAGAAGAGCACGATCTTGAAGAACATGATGAGATTATTGAAAACTCAATTAACTATGTTACTTCAAGAAAATGTTGGAACCGTAAAGAGGCAATTATTGATAATGCATTCGTATACAATTTAGCACTTGATATAATGGAAGAAAACAAGGATCCATAGCCAAAATCGGTTCATGAATGTCGGCAAAGAAATGACTGGCCAAAATGGGAAAATGCGATCCACTCAGAGCTTGACTCATTAAACAAAATGGAGGTCTTCGGACCAATTGTCCAAACACCGGATGGTATAAAACCGGTTAGATACAAATGGGTGTTTGTACGAAAAAGAAATGAGCATAATGATATTGTGAGATATAAAGCCCGTCTTGTAGCTCAAGGATTCTCACAAAGACCTGGAGTATATTTTGATGAAACATATTCTCCAGTTGTCGATGGAATAACATTTAGATACCTTGTGAGCCTAGCAGTGCGAGAAAAGCTCGATATGCGTCTTTTAGACGTAGTTACTGCATATCTGTATGGCTCATTGGATACTGATATCTATATGAAGGTTCCTGAGAAATTCAATATGTCTGAAGCATGCAAATTAAACCCAAGAGAATCATATTCCATCAAATTGAAAAAGTCATTGTATGGACTTAAACAATCAGGGTGGATGTGGTATAACCGTCTGAGCGAATGTTTAATAAAAGAAGGTTATACTAATGATCCAATATGCCCATGTGTCTTTATAAAGAAAAATTGATCAAATTTTGTCATTATTGCTATATATGTTGGTGATATCAATTTAATTGGAACTCCTGAAGAGATCCAAATTGAAGTTGAATATCTAAAGAAAGAATTTGAGATCAAAGATTTTGGAAAGACAAAATATTATCTGGGATTACAAGTGGATCATGTGAACAATGAAATATTTATCCATCAATCCACATATACCCAAAATGTATTAAAACAATTTTACATAGATAAATCTCACTCTCTGAGTACACCAATGGTGGTCAGATCCCTTGATCCCAATAAAGATCCATTTAGGCCAAGAGAAGAAAATGAAGAAATACTTGGCCCCGAGGTACCATATCTCAGCGCTATTGGCGCATTAATGTACCTCGCAAATTGTACCAGGCCAGATATATCTTGTTCAGTAAATCTACTGGCCAGGTTTAACGCATCCCCCACAAAGCGCTATTGGAATGGTATCGAACACATTTTTCGTTATCTTCAGGGGACTCATGACCTCGGTTTATTTTATTCGAGTGAATCTCGAAATGAATTAACTGGTTATGCTGATGCTGGTTATCTGTCAGATCCATACAATGCAAAATCTCTAACTGGCTATTTATTTACGTGTGGTGAAACTGCAATATCTTGGAGATCTGCTAAACAAACGATAACAACTACTTCTTCAAACCATGCTGAGGTTTTAGCAATTCACGAAGCCAATTGTGAATGCATTTGGTTAAGGTCCATGACTCACTATATTCAGAAAAATTGTGGCTTGATTACCAATGATAAATTATCTCCTACGATATTATTTGAAGATAATGCAGCTTGTATAGCTCAATTAAAAGGAGGGTATATTAAAGGCGATCGGACAAAGCACATATCTCCGAAATTCCTTTTCACTCACTATCTTCAGAAAAGTGGTGAAATTAATGTGCAACAAATTCGATCGTCTGAAAATTTTGCAGACTTTTTTACAAAGGCGCTACCGACTGCAACATTCAACAAACTGGTATAAGGAATTGGAATGCGTCGGATGAAAGATATCAAATAAAGTCTAAAACAGGGGGAGCGCATTAATACAAAAATGATGTACTTTTTTTCCTTCACTATAATTTTTTCCCACAGGATTTTTTCATAGTAAAGTTTTAACGAGGCACATTCTTACTATAAAGGCATCCAAAAGGGAGTGTTGTATACAAACTGTACACAATGTAATGACGTTGATAATTTGTGGCTGCCTTGTTGATTAATCTCCTAGCCTCACAATCACTTCTCCCTTTTACCTATATATATGTATGGCTGTATGAATAAAAACTCATCCACTTTTGATTCTCTAAAAGATCTCTCTCCTATCTTATATATACTTACACATACATATACTAATATTATTGCATAATACATATAGCCGTATATATATATTTATATACTTACCCATTTAATATATTATTATTATTATTATTATATAAAATATATATATTTTTTGTAATTTTAAAAAAATATAGATAGATAAAAGAAGTATATTTATTAAATTTTAGTTTTAGTGTCAAAACATTATGGGTGTGTTTGTATGTGGATTTTCTTCAAATTTTATTATTCATTCAATTTTTTTCTTCAAAAATATTAAATCAAACATCTATTTTTTATTTTTTATATTATACTAAAAATCAATTTTACATTCAAAACATCACATCAATACCTATTTATATCACATCGTACAACTATTTATATTCAAAATATTTTAATATTCAAATCCCAATCCAAAATTCAAAAAAAAAAAAAAAACACACCTTATATAAATTTAAATAGAAATATTTGATTTCATATTTTTTATATATAAAAAATGGTAAAAATAGAGCAACCTAAGGGTTTTTTTTATTTTTTATTTTTTATATAATACATGTAAATTTATTAATACTATTTCTTTAAAAAATGCTTAAAAATGCATGTAATGTATAAAAAGTTATGATACAATAAACACGAATAAATTCACCCATGAATATTGTAATTTTTTCTATCGATTATATATAACCCTCCATCTCCCGCAAGAACCTTTTTGTGTATTGATAGAATATTAATTATTATATCAATATACAGTAAAAATCAAGAGAAAAAAAAAGCATAAAATATATTTATTAATACAAATATGTTTATTAATCTCTTATAGTACAAATATAATATTTGTCAAGTAAATTATTTAAATATAAAAATATTTTTAATGTTAAATCCGAAGAATAATAAATATTACAATTTTTTCCTCAATTGCACGGTTATTAGGGATATAGGTTAGTCTCCATTAACTCATAGTCAATAATTTTCCTTTGGATTTATAAGATTTTTAACGGTAGAACATTGAAATTATTTACATTGTATTAAATTTTTTATATTAAAATCAAAATTGATTAATTTTAATTATATTAAAAAAAAAAAAAAATTCCCTTTTGCCTATTTGTTTTTTCAAACACATTTCAACATTATTCTCTTAATATGGGTTTATAATTTTCTTGAAATACAATTTAAATCAAACATCCAGTTTTAACATTAGAGAGTGAATCCGCCGGTACTCTGTCCTCGTCTCTCCTCTCCCCACCGGCCATCCTCTTCCACCAGCCCCGCCGCCGCCGCCGACAGGTGTGTGCTGTATTGAGCTTCAGCTCTTCCTCGTGTCGCACTGTATTCGATCTGGAGTTAGTCCGATGAGATTGGGAGGGATCTGATTAAAGGCACTCGATGATTTAATCGAGAATTTGAATCTTCCTCCTGAGCAGATGATCGGATTATTATTTCAATACATTTGCATAAGTCACCGCAGCGTAGGTCCAATAATAAACCCTATGCTCGACTTTCTCTAAGCTTCTATGTAGGTTTCCCCCCCCCCCCCCCCCCCCCCCCCCCCCCCCACGGTGTGCTTGTTTTTGTATGTTTATCCAAATGCGTCTAATGGTGGATCAATAATTATGGCATAGTATTGTTTAAATTTTATATTGGAAGTTCTGTCTATGTGATTATTTGTTTTAAGTTTGGTTTTATTATGACTGAACCTGACGAGTTATGTTGTACATTTAAAAGAGTCATACTTACATAAGTCATAATGAAAATCACCCTATGAATGGTGACGTTCACGAATTTCTTTTTAGATTCACTAGTTGTCCGAATGAAAGTATTAATATGTGAAGATACTGAATTCCTCGTTTTTCTCGCTTCTAGCCCTGTGGCGTTATCAATTTGGAATCCTATAGGCAACCCAGCAAGAAGAATGAATGAGAAGATTGAGATTTTATCATAAAACATTATGTGTTAACTTTATTGCATAACACACATTTGTCATAGCAAAATCTTTGCTCAAGATTTTGTGCACAAGTAGGGAGCTTTTATGTACTGTTTTGGTTAATTTGTACACAAGGTGAATTATGCAATAAAATTTACATGGAGTACTTTTTTCATTTGAATTAAAATATAAACGAAACAAATGCAATTTTCACTTTACCACTGGCTAAGAATTGATCAACTTAAGTTGAAAATCTAATGATTATTACAGGGTTTATAGCTGGTGAAAACCTCTCTACATTTTCACAGAAAATCTTTAGGACCCTGTTGATCCACCTCTACTTTGATGTCCATGCTCTGCTTACTTAATAATGGTAATGTTTCCTTATGAATCCTCATTCCCAGCGATACACTTGCATTGTATTTTTGTGTACTATTGGTTATGTTAATTTTTTGGTGGGTTTTGATTGAATCATAGGCAAACTCATTTAAATTATACTTAACCTGCATTCGGAACACTTTGGAGGCTGCCATGTGTTTGCAGGTGTGTATTTCCAGCATTTGGTATTTTAAGAGTCTATTTCATGGGTGTCTATATGTTTATCACTTTTTATATGTATGTTTATTTATTATATTTATAACCGTTGATCAATTTGATTGTAAAGATTTGTTTACCCTTCTTTTTTTTTGTAGAATTTCCCTTGTCAGGAAGTTGAAAGGCACAATAAACCAGAAGTTGAACTCAAGTATGTATTTCTCATGCCAATAAGAGAGTTTACTCTTCCTGTCTCCAGTTATCTTTAGAATAAGTTTTATTAATTGCTTGAGATTACACTAGCTGAGATGCTAAACATTTGGTGATCCTATACAAGTGAATGGATTATTAGCCATTTATCATTTGAATTTATGAGGAAAGGAAAAAGTATGGTTATATTTGTAAGACCATTGAATAATGTGTGTGCTTTTGTGAAAAATCCATTTCCCGGGTTTTAACACCTAAAAGGTTAGCAGACATTGCTTATCCTCTTATTACTTATGCTATTACCCCAAATTGAAATTATAGTCATATCCCACTTTTAATACAATTCATATTGATGGAGTTGAACATAGTAAACTAGGAAATTGTTTGTTTGGAAATTTATATCAATATATGTGTTTTGTTACTTCCAGGACCAGTCCAGAGTTGCTTCTGAATCCTGTAAGATTTCTTCTTGTTCTCACATGTTGACACCTTGCTTCTGGATTATATTTCTATTAAGTGGATTTAATGGAACTTACTGTTTGCTATCTGCTAAAAGGTCTTTAAAGGAAGGGCTTTTCAGTTGTTGCTTTTACTGCATACATCGTTACATAAGCACACCACTACACCATCCTTAGGTTGGACACATAATTTGTGGGAGAAAATAAAATGAAATAGAAAACCAATGATACAAAATGGAATCATTATGCATGGTATCTGTTTTGGTGGGGGGTTTATCAATGGTTTATAAGTTGATATTCAATCCTCTACATGTTGGTCAAGGTGGATTCGTTGGCTCATCTGTGAATTCTTACACAATACACTCTATCCATTCTTCAAAATTATGTGAGCCATTCATTAAGTATTACACAATCGTACAAGGAGAGTACACAACGATGTTAAAAGGACATTTTTACTTTTGATATTGGCTTGCTAGTGTACTTTAACAACATTCAAATGTATTATCTTCCTTAACAAACTTGGATGGAAAATTGGGCACCCTGTGACTTTCACATGACCAGCAAAAGCTGGTCAGTTATGTTGTAGGTATGTTTTCTTTGGCACATATTTGAACTTCCTCCTGGACACAGGAAATGCAATTTACTTTAAGCAATTTTGACCTATTTCAATCAGTAATTTTACATAACTTTACCATTCTTGAACTGAACACCCTAATGTTTTGCCTTCAAATACCGATGATATTGATACTAACCTTGTCTGAAGCTGTTTTAATTTACTTTTGGCATAACACCACAGTGAGTTTGGCAGGCTATAATCTGAATTCAATGTCAACTTGCACCCTTATTGTTTATGATTACAGTTGCCTAGGGGGTGCAGTTCATGATTCCATTTCTAGTATGCTAAATATGTTTGTGTAAATATACTCACTACAGTTTAACTTGTTAGATACTGAAAGTAAAACCGGAATTGAATGTTACAGATACAAACCTTTCTTTATATTTGCTTCACTTCTATACTATTGGCTCTTGTGTAAGGCCATTTCTAGCCAAGGACCTATTGCTTTTCTAAATCTTATTGATTTTGCTGTATTTCTCAGGTTACGATCTGTAGGAATGAGGCTGAGAAGTGTCTGATAGAAACATCTATAAATTCATTGCGTATAAGCCTTAAGGTATGTAAGCTAGGCTTCTTATACTGTTACTTTTACTTCCGTATTAGTTGGGAATACATCAACATCTCTCCCGTGGCTGATTGAAGAACTAAATCATCCCAAATATTTGTCTATTGTCTACATTGTTTTGTGCTCTGTGACTTGTTTTGAGAATTTTGCTGAGTAATCTATAATATTCTTTGCTACTTTGCTTACTAAAGATTTTTAAGCCTTCCATTGATGATTGATGGTATTCAAATCTATAGCTTAAATGGCTATACCTAGCCATGAGCAGCTGCTGATGTTTATCTTACTTAGAAGTTAATATTTTCTTGACATGCGATGCATATGTTACTTGATGCATGTTGAGTACTTAGAGGTGGAAGAGCATTCAATATGCCCAACCTGTTGTTTGGTTGATTACTTGAGACAGAGCACGTACTGCATTTTTCTTTGATTAATGAGATAATTTGGAGGCAGAGAATGTGGTTATTTTCACAGTGCTGAAAATGAGGAATACCTCAAAGCTGTCTTGGTTTGTTTATTGGAATGTTGTTACTATATCTAGTTGAAGTGATGACCAAGTGTTATGTGATTTGATTATTACCTACAGCTTTACAGCTCTGTTAAACTTGTAGTGTATCTTTTATTATTTTTTTCAATGGAAAGGTGGAAGTATGCACCCTGTGCATGTAGTCTCGATATGCCTCCTTTCATCTTCTATTGTTCAATAGCATCAGACTAGTGTTACTGAAATTGAACACGCAACTTGTTTTTTTCCTCTAAGATTAGAGACAACTGACAAGTTGATATATGCCCTTAGGTAATTAAGGATTTCACTGTGCTGTTTTTTCATATTCGTGGTAGATATAATTTCAAACTATGAAGCTGAACCTATAAAATATATCATGCTATAGGACTTGGTGAAATCTATCAATAATATTATTTGGTCTAGCCTAATTGCTTCTAACAAGTTGGTGAGCTTATGTGGGTTAAATAATGATGTCAGGGAATGAGGGTGTAGCCTAGTGGCGAAGCCCTCAATCCTCTCACCCGTAGATTGGAGGTTTGATTCCCATCATGGTGTGGGCATCCACAATATCTAAGCAAATACCTTTGGCTAATGTCACAAAAAAATAAAATATAATTATGATGTCAATGTCAGAATAAAATAAATAAATAAATAAATAAATGATGTACCAAACTACATGAATAGTGATGCATTTAGTCAATAACTTGAAACATCTGAAGTTTGATATACCGGAAATTCTTGTTCGTGCTGTGGCCCCTTTATAGGATCTTGGATTAGATGTTTTACCTTAGCTAGTTAGCTGAATGAAGTTTCATAAGTAGATTGCTACTTCAAACTCTTAACTTATTAAGGATTGTAAGTATTCTGTGTCCACTTACATGATTTACTGATTCTGATGCTAAGTTTAGATTAATCGAATGTGATCATTCTTGTATGGCTCAAATTTATCTTCTGTTATGAAAATCTGAGTGGAACTTTCAAAGTCAAGAATCCTTCCAATTCTTACACTCTATTTTCTATATAGGTTAAACAGGCAGATGAACTCGAGAACATTCTGACAAAGAAGTTTCTAAGGTTTTTGTCCATGAGAGCAGAAGCTTTTCAAGTTTTGAGGAGAAAACCTGTGCAGGTCTGCAATTTTCTTCTATTTCAAGTTAACATTAATGCCTACTCAGTGCCTTATAAATATAATATATAAATAAGAAAATGAATACTGTCACTATAAAAGTAATAAACCAAGTGGAGATCAAGATTCTTTAGTAGAAAACTATCACAACTTTTTACTTGCCATGCAAGCTGATATTTTGTAAGTACTATTTTTTTGTCATACAAATAACTTCTATCTAGCTTGCATATCCGTTCTCATTTCTCTGCATTGGCTGAGGTGATAAATAGCATATGCCGCCAAATTATTTTTCTTGCTCAAAATATTGCATGCTAATTACATAACCAGAAAGTAGAAGGGCTTTGCTCAGGAAGGCTTCATATGCTCTATCGCTGAAATGAGCATGCATTTTGATCCAAAAGTCTCCACTATGCCTGTTTAAAATTTCGGATGTGCGAACGCAGTTTCTTCTTGTGTTCATATTAGGAATTAAAAACAATGTAATGTTCTGTATGCGCCATATACATATATTAAATTCGATTGGTACTTTGTCAGATAATGATTGAATGGTATCATATAGTAACAAGCTAATGATGATGATTTTAAGTATAGATGCATATTTTGTTATTTATTTTTCATAACCTCATTTCAGTACCAATTTTACAGGTTTTGACTATTTAGATATTAGATGCCACTGGAATCTATTTACAGCATGGGTAAATTGATATCTTCTCCGTCCCAAATCTTTTACTATTATTTCTAATTTGGGACGCCTCAAAAATTTTGCAACTTTCCATTTGATATCTTCTCCATTCCAAATATAATTTATAAAATCATTCCAAACAAAAAGTAAGGGCAAAAGGATATAAAAATTATCAAATTGTGCATGGACTGCTTATGCTGGGAAAGAACTTATTGCTATTTTACATGTTGGTATTCCATGTTGTGAAAACATCATTACTTGCAGCTTTTTCATAAGCATTGAAACTAGTTACCTTGACAAGATACTTACAACCTGCCTCTGCCACACTGTAAAAACTTTGTATTCCTGTTTCATGCAAACACTTAGCAAACTAATCTTGTGCTTTTGAGCTTATGGTAGCTGAGTGTATCTATTGTGTCTCACGTTTCTTGTTTTAAGATATGAACAGCTGTAATGCAGAGATAGGATAATTTAGAATGCCCTTTTTTAAAAAAAAACAAAAAAATTAATTCAAACTTAATTACTTTCTCAGGGGTATGACATCAGTTTCCTCATTACCAACTATCACTGTGAAGAGATGCAGAAGCACAAGCTGATAGATTTTATTGTTCAGTTCATGGAGGTAACTACTGTGCTGTTATTGTTTATTATAAAGTAACATATACTTATTATAGGGTTTCTCTTGATGTCACAGAACAAGATAAACTTTAAATAATAATAATAATAAGGGAAACCATTGTTTTAGTCCCGTAATTAATCCCGGTTATCATTTTATTCCCGTAACTAAAGCCTGTATAGGAATAGTCCTGTAAGTGATTTTTTGTTTTTGCACAATTGGTCCTCTGGCGCCGGAAATGCGCACGTGGCACCTGCGTGGCACGCCGGAGCAAATGTGTTCGCCAAATAGACGTCACCTGGTGAACACGTGGAAATTTGTTTAAAAAAGAATAATAATAAATTTATTTAAGAAAATTAAAACATAAATTTCTTTTAAAAATTTTATTAAAAAAAATAATAAATTTCCACGTGTTAGCTAGGTGGCGCGTACCTGGTGGACACGTATATTCCGACATATCATGCGAGTGCCATGTGCTCATATCCATCATCAGAGGACCAATTGTGCAAAAACAAATTCACTTACGAAACGATATTTATATAGACTTCTATTACAAAATTAAAATAAAGAGGTTAGTTGGGGAACTAAAAACAGTTTTTCCTAATAATAATGTAAAGACTATTCAAATTTGGTTCGACCGTAGACAAATAAAAAGAACAATCTATTGATTTGCCTCCTTTATATTAAACTATAACAGTTAGACATTAAATTGATGATCATATTGAGAAGTTCAATTATATTCGGCATTATTATGTAGTCATCATTGACCAAATACTATTGAAAGAACGTGTATTAAACTATTAAACTTGTATACATTAGCTGGCAGGTATCATGGTTTCCTATTAGTCTGTGTTTGTGCATGTCTATTGCATCAGTTCGGGAATTAAAATTAGACAATCATATGCAATTTTATACTAATGAAAGATAGAGCATGCTTTAAATTCTATCTTTCGATTTGACAAAATTTCCTCTAATGGTTACTTTGTTGAGAGATTGAGGAACCATGATGGCTGTAGAGCTATTTTTCAATTGCTTGTCTTTTGACTTTCCTGTTTCAGAGGATAAAAGTTCCTCCAGGTTTCTCATACCTATTCCCAAAATGTCTAATTTTCCTAGTGAAATATCTACAGAAGTTAGTTGGAACAGAAATTGATGGTTTTATGGTTTGACTCCACAAAGTATAATGCTCCCTCTGCCATTGAATTCTAGCTTATTTGATTGGGTACGGATTTCAATAAAAGTGAATAATAATAATTGTTATTATTACTATTATTTTTATAGTACAAAAATGATATGATTTTTTATTAAAAAAAAATGAGAATATTTTTGGATGACAATTCGAAAAAAAGAGTGAGCATAGATTTGGATGAATTGATTTAGTGAGCATGCATTTGAGCTGAATAATTACCGTAGAAGGAAGGCGGATTTGAGCCGAGCAGATTAATGATGAAATATTTTCAGTAATTTCGTTAAGGTGATTCTTCCGGTGCCTGTTAATTTGAAGCACTTGCTAGTATTCCGTTGAACTTGAATGTGAAATCCCAGGATTTTCTGGGCAAAATCTGTCTGTCTTTGAATCTCAATATCCGTATCCGTGTGGTTGTGCAGGACATTGATAAGGAGATAAGTGAGTTGAAGTTGTCAGTGAATACACGAGGGAGGATTGTTGCTACAGAGTTCCTGAAGCAATTTATCTGATAGCGCGATTTGCTTAGTCAAAACTTGGTCGTTCATCTTGCGCGCACCGGGCAGATACTATAGCAGAATCTGGTAAATTTTAGGTACATCGCTGAGCTTATATATAAATTGAATTTCGTTGGAAAAGTTAAGATTCTTTATTTCTTTTCATGTTTGGTGTTATAACATTTTTATGTCTATTATTATTTTTTATTTTTAAGAAACGAGGGTCATGTGGATTCGGATATTGTAGTTACTTAGAAGACAAATGATGAGCTTTTCTTGCAATTAATTACATGTATGTTACGTGGTTTGCTGGGTGGATTTTGGGTTGTGAAACATTGGTTGCAATGCTACATAGAGAGAGAGAGAGAGAGAGAGAGAGAGAGAGGATTGTTGATAATAATATTAGTATGTTGTTTTTTTATAATATGTTGTGTTATTAGCTGCTTCCGTTACCATGTTAATTGTTTCAAATCAATCATAAGACACAACGCATATCTAATAGCATAAGATAATATATATTTTGATAGCATAAGTATACTTATTGAATATATAAATTCTACTTTTATGCTATACAATATAAAAATATGTACCATTTGTCTTGTATGTGTTGGCTAGGATAAATGACAATAAATATCACTTCAAGTTCACGAAGAATATAATTTTACGGTTAATTTGAAATGATTAAACGAACTGACCAATGATATTATGTTTATTATCCGAGGTTATTTAGGGCCCCAAAAATTCTAGATACTAAAAGAAATGTACACTTACTTTCAGTCTTACAATTACACAAAACTTGAACAGTTAATTCAAAACGATCAAAAAATCATTAAGTGTTTTTTTTTTTCATCTGAAGTTGTTTAGAGTTCAAAAAAATTATAAACGGCTAAAAAAAACGTAAAATTATTATTAGATTTGGAATTGGAGAAAATTCGCACGTTTCATCCGAAATGACCAAACGAATCTACTAACAATATTGTTTTATCCATACGAGCTCGTTTATGACCCTAAAAACTCTAACACAAAAGAATATAAACTCATTTTTAGAATCTGAATTGAACATCACGGTTTATGCGAAATGATCAAACAAAATGTAAATCCATTTTCAGACTCGCAATTAGATGAAATTTGCACGTTCATCCGAAACGACCAAACGAATCAAGCAACAATATTTTTTGTCATTGAGGTCATTTTGGGCCCTAAAAATCCTAACTTCTAAAATAATATAAATCAATTTTTAGACAAGGAATTAACGAAATTCGCAAGGTTCATCCAAAATTAGCATACGAACCATTCAACGATTTTTTTTTTAGTGCGAGATTGTTTAGAGCCAAAAAAGTCAAAAAGCTAAAAAAATAAATAAATTTTTAAACTCAAAATTGAATAATTGGTAAAATATATGTATCATTTTTTTGCAATTTTTGTCCTTTAGCTGCATCAAGTTCACGACGGTGTTTGTGCAAGTTAAAATATGCTACAGATGACAAAAATTGCAAAAAAGTGACACATGTAGAATATATTTGCCAGAAGACCATAAATATAATAATGATAATTGACCATAAATACATAATATTTACTATAATTTTCTTGTGTTAGCTGGGTCAAATCGGCTTAGAGTTAATGTGATCCGGTCAACGTCTTAACCACAGCCCTTATCAACATAGGGTGTTTTGTTATGGTTAAATTAATAAATTGACATCATTTATAAAATACTCGTAAAATTTATTAATATGCCCTTAGATTGATGTTCAATGCCCTATGTCAATATTAGAAATTATTTTCGAAGTAAATGGGTCCGTCTAGAGTGACATTTGCAGTTTTGAAAAATAGTAAAAAATTTGTATTCAATGTAATATTTTGTTAGATAAAAAATACATTGAATTATGTTTATAAAAAAATTACTATATATACATTGTGCTAAAAATTCCAAAATCATATGCATAAACAATAAAATGTCTATGTAAACAACATTAATATTTCACTGTAGTTGTTTACAATGTTTATATTTGTTAAGCACAAAAAATAATAATAATAAATAATGGCAGTGGGATTCTGGACGGGTCTGGATATAAGTTAAATGACCCAGAAGTAGGGTGCAATCGGACAGATGCAAGGATCGGGAAGGAAGAAAGGTCGGGCGGAGTCTGAAAAAAGGTGTACCCAAGTCGGGTAAACCGTAGATCGGGTGAAAGACGAAGTCGGGCAGACGCGAAGGTTTGTCAAGAGAAAGGTCGGGCAAGGAAGAGGTACGGACAGATGCGGAGGTCTGTCCAGAGGACAGTCTGTCCTTCTAAAGAGATAAGGCAAATAGAGCCGGTCGGTTGGTCCGTGGTCGGGACCACATTTGGTTGGTCCATGGTCGGACCAATTAAAGTCGGTCAAAGACGGAGGGCGGCTGATGCGGAGGTCGGCCCAAATGATGTCGGGCGAAGAAGCAGGTCGGGCATTGAGGTCAGGACGTGATACGAAGTTCGGACCAAGTGAAGTAGCATGTGCAAGTCGGGTGAGAGAGCAGTTTTGGGGCGGTTAGAGGAAGTTGCAACTGGCGAACGGTTTTTTGAAGGTCGGACGTAGTAGAACGGTTGACCAGACGACGGTTCTGAACGTTTTCTTCAAAGAATATTTAAGGATTTGGATCATCATTTGGCAAGGCATCTTCAATCAACTTCAACAAAGCAAAGTCAGATTTGGGGATCACCACTTTAAATTTCAGTCTTTTATTTTCCAGTTTATTTTCTGTACCATACAGTGTTTAGAGATTCCTAATCTCAGGTACTAATTAATCAAGTTTAAGGATATTTTCTATATCTTTGAATTTTACTTTATTTTTGTTGAAAAATTACATCAACAAATTGGCGACCACAGTGGGAGAAAGGCAAGATTGCTGATCCTACATCAATACAAAATGTCATACAACTGAGGTCTGACCGAATCATCAGAAAAATCAATATGGCAGGCACACAACCTCAATCATCATCAGCACCGGTGGGAGAGAATGTTTCACCACCAGTCATGCCAAATCCAGGGGAGATTCCCCCACCACCTACCGATTGGTTGTCTTATGTTCAACAAATGAACAACCAGCAAACTTTGGTTATGCAGAACATGTTGCATGAGCAACAAATGAACATGTTGCGTGAACAACAAAATCTAATACAGAACATGGTGGATCAGGCATTCTCCAGATTCACCCTGTATCCAAACATGCTTCCAGCCGTGTCACCTGCTCGTTTTCAGGCGATTTTTCCAAGATCAACGTTTGCAGGGCCAACGTACGTTGACAGTACGTTTCCAAGCGTCACAACTTTCAACCGAACAGATATGGGGAAGATTCCTCTAACTTTCCCAGATAATGTTCCTTTGGGACCGAGGGTTGATAATACCCAGCCGAATGAGAGATTAGGAGGACAGACTCATAATCCCATTCCAACCGAACCAGCCTTCTCTAGAGAAGAAAGGTTGGAGGGACAGACTCATAATCCCATCCCAGCCGAACCAGCCTTCTCCAGAGAAGAAAGATTGGGAGGTCAGACTCACGATCACATTCCAGTGTTCGACCATATTCCACCCAAGGGACAGACTCATAATCCCATCCCAGCCGAACCAGCCTTCTCCAGAGAAGAAAGATTGGGAGGTCAGACTAACAATCACATTCCAGTGTTCGACCATATTCCACCCAGAGTAGATCCGGAGGATATTGCTCAAGTTCTGCGGGTGCATTTCGGAATGAATCCGCAAACGGTGAACAGGCCGGTTTACCAGAGGCCATTTCCAGAAAGGATCATTAACGATCATCCTCTCCCGAGAAATTATAGGCCACCAGACTTCTATTCTTTTTCGGGAGAAGACGGAGCCTCTACCATTGAGCATGTGGGTCGCTTCACGGCTCAATTGGGAGAAGTAGGCAACAATCCGTTTCACAAGTTACAATTGTTTGGATTGTCGCTCACAAGAACAGCTTTTTCTTGGTATGCCAGTCTGCCGCCTGGACAGTTGCAAACTTGGGAAGATTTAGAGGCAGATTTTCATGCAAGGTTCTTTAATCCTCTGCCGACAGTCTCACTGATAGACCTTCTGGAGATCACGCAGATGCCGGAAGAGACCGGCTACCAATTCATAGAGAGGATGCGATTGATGAAGGGACGATGTCCTACGATGATCAATGAAAGCGAAATGACCAATTTGGTGGTCAGGAACATGCATACCAGACTTCGCGAGGCCCTGACAGCCCACGACTTTCAAGATCTGACCAGTTTAGCATCCACGACAAGAAGGTTAGAATCCTTTTTTACAGAAAATAATCATGACTTCCGTCAGGGGGGAGATGCTGAAGCAATGTTAGTGCAAGATCGATCAATGTGCAGACCACCAGTCCGCGATAAATGGAGGTCGGGTCCAACGTAGCCTCAGAAGATGGAGGTCGGATCTGAGGCTGATGTAGCCTCAGATGCTGACCTGCAAACTCCTAAAACATCACTGAAAGTGATGTTTAGGAGTCTTGAGGAGGAGGCTTATTGTTAAGCACAAAAAAATAATAATAATAAATAATGGCAGTGGGATTCTGGACGGGTCTGGATATAAGTTAAATGACCCAGAAATAGGGTGCAATCGGACAGATGCAAGGATCGGGAAGGAAGAAAGGTCGGGCGGAATCTGAAAAAAGGTGTACCCAAGTCGGGTAAACCGTAGATCGGGTGAAAGATGAAGTCGGGCAGACGCGAAGGTTTGTCAAGAGAAAGGTCGGGCAAGGAAGAGGTACGGACAGATGCGGAGGTCTGTCCAGAGGACAGTCTGTCCTTCTAAAGAGATAAGGCAAATAGAGCCGGTCGGTTGGTCCGTGGTCGGGACCACATTTGGTTGGTCCATGGTCGGACCAATTAAAGTCGGTCAAAGACGGAGGGCGGCTGATGCGGAGGTCGGCCCAAATGATGTCGGGCGAAGAAGCAGGTCGGGCATTGAGGTCAGGACGTGATACGAAGTTCGGACCAAGTGAAGTAGCATGTGCAAGTCGGGTGAGAGAGCAGTTCTGGGGCGGTTAGAGGAAGTTGCAACTGGCGAACGGTTTTTTGAAGGTCGGACGTAGTAGAACGGTTGACACACGTGTCAATAGAAGAGAACTTTTGGGGCGGTTAACGACGGTTATGGTAACTGACCAGACGACGGTTCTGAACGTTTTCTTCAAAGAATATTTAAGGATTTGGATCATCATTTGGCAAGGCATCTTCAATCAACTTCAACAAAGCAAAGTCAGATTTGGGGATCACCACTTTAAATTTAAATTTTTTATTTTCCAGTTTATTTTCTGTACCATACAGTGTTTAGAGATTCCTAATCTCAGGCACTAATTAATCAAGTTTAAGGATATATTCTTTGAATTTTACTTTATTTTTGTTGAAAAATTACATCAACAATATTATACTCCATTTGCTTCGAAAAAAAATTGATCT